AGACCGAGCCAAGTGGGCAGAAGAGCCGGTGGGCGACGAGCCGGTGTGGCAGACGTAGCCGGGGGGCAGACGAAAAAAAGGCCCCCGGGGGGGGGGGGCAAAAAGAAAAAAAAAAAAAGAAAAAAAACCCCGGAAAAGGGCCGGGGGGCAGACGAGCCGGGGGCAGACGAGCGGGGGCAGACGCAGCCGGGGGGCAGACGAGCGGGGGGCAGACGAGCTCGGGGGGCAAGACGAGCCGGGGGGCAGACGAGCCGGGGGGGCCGACGAAGCCCGGGGGCAGACGAGCCGGGGGGCCAGACGAGCCGGGGCAGACCGACCGGGGGGCATACCGAGCCCGCTGGGCAGACGAGCCGCTGGCAGACGAGCCGGTTGGGCAGACGAGCCCGGTGGCAGACGAGCCGGTGGGCAGACGAGCCGGTGGGCAGACCGAGGCCGGTGGTGCAGCCGAGCCGGTGGGCAGACAGAGCCGGTGGCAGACCGAGCGGTGGGCAGACGAGCCGGTGGGGCAGACGAGCCGGGGGGCAGACGAAGGCCGGTGGGCAGACGAGCCGGTGGGCAGAGACGAGCCGGTGGCAGACGAGCCGGGGGGCAGACGAGCCGGGGGAGACGAGCGGTGGGCAGAGCGGCCTGGGGCAGACGAGCAGGGGGCAGACAGCCGTGGGGCAGACGAGCCGGGGGGGCAGACGAGCCCGGGGGGCAGACGAGCCGGGGGGCAGACGGAGGCCGGGGGGGCAGACGAGCCGGTGGGGCAGACGAGCCGGTGGGCAGACGAGCCAGGTGGGCCAGACGAGCCGGTGGCAGACGAAGCCGGTGGGCAGACGAGTCCGGTGGGCATGACGAGCCGGTGGCAGACAAGCCGTGGGGATCGAGCCGGTGGGCAGACGAGCCGGTGGCAGACGAGCCGGTGGGCAGACGAGCCGGTGGGCAGACCCCAGCCACCAGCCACGCCCCCGCCGCGAGCCGATACGGCGCCGCTCACAGCTCCCACAGGGGCGCCCCCAGCGCACACGCTGCAGTGCGCACAGCCGGTCAGCGGGGCTTCGTCAGTCGCAGCAACCCCCCACGCGCTAAGGCAATGGGCCTGCGTCGGGAACAAGTCATGGATATCACATCGTTTTGAGCTTCCAGACCACGGAATATTGCAATTTACCCCTTACCGCTAATTAATCCGTCATTTATTATTTCATAACTGATAAGGAAATGCATATATCTGCTACTTCTTCTTTGACTCAAGATCCTGGTTATACATGGGTTGTACATGTTTTAAGTTGTTTTTTACCGTGTGTGAGATGCCCTCTAAACTCTACACATACATTGATCTCTAGCCAGTAACTCACTTATTGGCTTCTATAGAGTCAAAAGAACGTGAGGACATTCGCGAGAGATTTTACATGAGACAGAAAAATTTGACTTCTGAGCCTAGAATTCGATTTCGATCCTTCAGAATGAATTCAGATGTAGCACAAGAACAAATCAACCTACAGTCACCTACAGAAGGAAGTGGTCCTGTAGTCTCACATGGGCCGGGTTAAGTGACGATAACTTGAGGTCTCGGGAAGGAAGTGTCTTCGATAAGGCGGAGGCGAGTTGGTCATAATTTTTGGATGAGATGCCAAGTAAGCTCCCAAAAGAAGCGCGTAGTTTATGCTGCCGCGTCCGAGGATTCGAGTTGTGAGTGGTAGCAAAATAATGAGTTATACCAGACAACGATGATATCGACAACCGGATCTAATTATAAAATCAATCCAAATCTCGTATTAAGAAGAATAAATATCAATAACTCGATGATTTTTCATTTAAATAAAAAAATGTTTCTTTAAAATAATATTAACCGATTTCAAATGAGAAACTCGGAAAACTTGTAAGAAATATGAATTGAAAATAGTCTGTGGTGTTGTTTTCCAGTTAAAAGCACAGCGCCAAATATTTTCTTTTAATTTCGTGTTCGTGTTTTGCGTGAAAACTCAGCAAAACGCAAAAATTGGAATGTTATGCTTTTTAACAGCATTGGTAAACTAAATTCTACAAACAACATTCTTTCTTTGTAAAATGTAAATTTTCTTGTTGACGGAAATGTAGAAAAATAATAAGATACGCAAAAGAAAATGTTTTATACGTCAAAATATATCATGAATTTAAACTAAAGCTGACGTAGTTTTAAACATCTGGTGGTGCTTTTATTTATTCGTATTAAATCATTGTAATATCTACGTAGTGTGAAGTAATCAAAAATAAAACTCCTTTTTCTCTGGTCTTCCATTTACTTCAAGATTTTTTTATAGAATGAAAAATTTCATTCCAGCATTAATTGCAATATACTTGTACATATTTTGGCATTTTCACATCACTTTTGGAGTAGTTGTCTCAACATTTGTTCTACATTAAAGCAGAGATCCCATTATTAAAAATATCACAAAATAATGTTGAAAACTTTACCAAAATCATCGAAAGTCAGAGAGAAAATATTGGAATGGAATGTTGGAAGATAGTACTATAAAAACAAGCAAGCATCGCAACCATTGTAGCAAATCACGTCATTTGCTTGTGTAACATTTTATTTTAAATTATTGCAAAAATTTAATTTCAGTCCAGTTAAGTACATACTAATAAAACAGATTTTGAAATTTGACCACGATTACATTATATTTCATGCAGGATAAATTCACAGCTCGCTGTTAATATATTCGCCGTCGTGAAGTGGACGAATTAAAATGTACAATGGGCTGCAAATCCCAAAAGTTGAATATCAATCATGTTTTTACAATGGATCTGAATGATAGATCTATTTTTATTTAATAAAATCGTATAAACAATGAGAGAAAGCAGTTGCTGGGTGATCGCAACATGCATTGCTATATGACATTTTTCTGTTCAGAAAATTATTCTACCAATCGCTTTAAATTGGGAGTGGATTTACTAACGGTAGAGATTTCAATACACTATAATATGATAGCCAAACATTTCCCTTTCGTTTTACTATTCTGCGATAAGAGGAACGAATTTTATCTTTGTGTAGCATTGTAAACGTATTGTAACTGTTTACAAAATCGTTGCTATTTCCAATGCGGGTAACAATTATACCATGTTTCGGAAGATAGCGGTTTTTCAATTGCCGTGAATGTGGTGTGAAGCACTGTTACAATGTTGTCAATGTTAATTTTATTATCCTAGTATAAAGTAAATGAGGAGCTTATTCGAACAATTTGGCACAATTAGCAGACTAAATGTTTAAAAAGTGGTATTTCTCTTTACGTTTTCACGTTAAAAATATAAAGTGAAAGAGATCGGATCTTGCTTCTTCTCAATAGTTTGAGAGATGTTTTGCTAATATTAATTAGATTTTTTTCTTTTTAGTTTATTTTTGTACATACGATTTTTATAGTTTCTATTCCTAATTTATACGACCTTGGTCTTTGAAAAGGAATGATAATGAGGAACTGGTTATTTAAACAAATTAAAAGTAGCAGACTAAAAGTAAAGTAGCAGAAGAAAATTAACTAATGGTGTAATAACAGAAATTTTCAAATTTCAAAAATCCAGAATGTTCTTCGAAAATGAGATCTCTGACTTTTTAATGCTCTCTCTCGTTTATTCCGTAGTAAATAAATTTATTAAAACATTTAGTGCCTTTTTTTAGAATTTGGAGAAATCATAGAGTAATTACCGGAATACTATTCCTTTTTATTTTCAAAAAGTTTATATGACTTTTTTAAATATCTAATTTTTAGAACAAATTTTATTTACAAGAAAATTATCAATAATATTATACTTGTACAATGTAATTTTCTGGCAATTTTCAAATCAAACACCTGGAGGTTGCCGTAAATGAGAGCACCACAGTATTTTATCGTCCTTTGGCACTATATACAAGGTACAAAATTAAGAAAAAAACTGTGGAATCATTCTTAAGAAAGAAATGTTTAAACATTCTTTAATTTTAAAAAAAACTCATATTTTCGAAAAATTATACAACCCCTTATTTTAAGGTAATCTTTGATCAACAGATTTAATTAATAAAAAAATCAATTTTTCATATTGTTGTTGTAGGAAAATGATGTGGGATGACGGAAAAATGTTTTCACAATTTTTAAAAATTAAAAAATGTAATTACAATTAGACCTGCGTCATTTTTTAAAAGCGCCAATTACACTTTCCGGGGACAAAGTTTGTTCAAAACATTTTCAGCCGGTATTTGAGAAAAATTTTAAAACGTCGAGACCATTTAAAATACCCCACAAGTTAAAATATCCGTTTCGAACTCGCAAGGACTCAAGTATGCTCATATAGATCGAGGAACCTTAATTTTAGAGAAAATCTTCTGGATTTGTACTATGTAGGTGCTAGCATTGGCCACTGACGGCCAGACCAGGACAGACGGACGGACCAAAGAACGTTTTCCCATCAATCGGTTTCTCGGTAGTAACTACCAGTAAAATATAGATTCTTATTGTAAAACATCTTAGAGGAAGTATTTTACTACATACATAAAGACGATCACTTTTTCCGTGAGCACGTGGAAGCACGTATTTTTTTTCAAAAAAAATCAATAATTTATTTCGCAACATTACAATACTTTATCATCTCGTAAGTGGAAAGTGCTGTAATATTATAATGATGCAAATACAGAACAAATTGAACCAACAAGATTCTCAGGCCAATAATGTGCCATATAGTATTTATCTGCAGTAATTTATGTCACATGTTTGCTTTTGTATCACAGAAATAGCTTGAGATTTGTTTGTTAATACACATTAAGTGCTGCAATGTTCCACCCAATTACACGCGCTACTTTTTCGTTATTCCATGGTGTTTAGATGCTGGTATAATTATAATAATAATAATAATAATAATAATAATTCATAATAATAATTCATAATAATAAATATTAATTAATAATAATTAATAATAATATTTATTGAGCTACATATACAATTACAATGGTGTATGACGAGTCAATATGATGCCTTGGGTGGAGAGAGCGAAGTTATATTACTGTTCAGGAGCAAACAACGGGCCATCTCAGCATTTGCTCAAAGGACCAGGGAAACTGAAGAAAATCTGATCGAAAATATATAATTTACTGGTAAAAATGCAGCACTTAGAATGATGTAAATAAAAAATATACATCTTCTATGACGTTTCCCTAATGTAAGACGCTTTAAAATACCCAACATATTTATCTTTAATAATATTGGCCATATGTTATAAGCTTCCTGCTTGTCATGGATTTATTTACCTAGTATAAAGTAAATGAAGAGCTTATTGGAACAATTTAGCACAATTAGCAGACTAAATGTTTAAAAAGTGGTATTCCTCTTTACGTTTTCATGTTAAAAATATAAAGTGAAATAGATGGTCTGGTCTTAGTCTTAGTCTGGTTGAAAGTATTCAAGTGACATAACCTCTTCTTCAAATTCAGCAGACGTTTCTAGGTTTAAATTTTCTATCATTTAACAAAATTCCTAGAACTGTGAACCTAACACATGAACATCAGTCTGTGCCAGAATGAATCACTGGTTTACTGTGCTCCTTTAACGAATGGTTCACTCAAACCCATAGGTTCTTATTAATATGGCCATTTTTAAGTAAAAATTAAAATTGAGGCTTCATGTAAATACATAAAATCACAGTCAGTCAGTACACAAAATCAAAATAATATTAATTATGTTGAGTATACTATGTCTCATTGAAAAAGTAAAACTTACAAGTAGCATATTCATTTACTTTCTTCGTATTGTAGTAGTTGAATTATTTTTAAGGAATGTCTGTTACAGGTATCCATTAAAATCACATTTAACAATTAAGTAGTTTGCATTGCCAACATACCACCAAATACTCACATACAATTTTACATACAAGAATGAAAATTACGGCTGGTTCACACTATCCCGTGATTCATTGTGCCTCACTTTCTGCTAATTGAGAATATGTCATTAGCTTCTGAAGCAAGGGTAGCTCTTCGGTGTGTGTGTCTGTAAATAATTTTAGTGTGTCCATAAATAATTTTAGTGTGTCTATAAATAATGCAAAATACAATTAACTGTAGGCGAATTTCTAGTAAGTCTTCCATTGTTTCAGTGCATCGCCGTTCGTTGCGAAAGACATTATCCTTTCCACTGCGAACTCTGGGATGAATTTATGCGAAACTGAAATCTCACATAACTTCCATTCCCTGCCGCGGAATATACATATCGGAGGAGCGTAGGTAGCTAGAGTAACGTTCTGCGGTGACAAAAGCACCGCGAGGTAGCTTGAGACGACACTACGACACTAGGAGCGCAGTAAAGCGAATACTACACTACTGCGGTAGCGTGCCCATCACAGCCGAGAGAGACATAAACAAATAATCTAATAGGCAATGATGTTTACATTGTCGCTCGACTGCGGCAAACTAGAACGACCATTCCGTTCACGTCACGTCTAGCTTTACTCTCGGCAGATAATCCAAATGGCGGCAGGGCGGCGCCGAGATGTCTGTCACGCAGAAGAGGATGCACGGCAACAGAGCTCCAGTGCAGAACATCGTCCAGAAAATTACCGCGAAAGAGAGAAAGAAGGAGAGAGGGGGATAGAGCGAGACAGAGAAAATGAGAAGTAGAGATGAAGGGAGGTAACAAGGGGCGAAGAGGGAATGTGGGAAAGAGAGTATAAGAGGGAAAGAGGGTATGAGTGGGAGCGAAGATCGGGGGGGTGCGAAGATCGGGGAGGGAGAGAGGAGTGGGAAGGGAGAGAGAGGGAGAGAAAGGAATGGGAAGGGCGAATGTGAAGTGAGGAGGGAGAAAATGGAATGGGAATGAGAAAGAGAGTGGGGTGGGGAGAGAGGGTAGGAGAGCGCGCGAGGGGACGAGAAAGGGAGGGAAGGGAGACGTAGAGAAAAAAAGGGGATGGGAAGAAAAAGAGGGAGGAAGTAGAGAGAGAAGATAGGCGGGAAGAGAGATAGAGGGGAAAGAGGGAGGAAGAGAGACAAAGAGGAGGTACATTTTTTTTAATATTAGCATAATTACAGCGCTTCAATAAGTTCCATTTGCTCGAGCGTATTCCCTCGAGCGTATTCCCTCGAGCGTATTCCCTCGAGCGTATTACCTCGAGCGTATTACCTCGAGCGTATTCCCTCGAGCGTATTCCCTCGAGCGTATTCCCTCGAGCGTATTCCCTCGAGCGTATTCCCTCGAGCGCCATCTGCTCGAGCGTTCTGTGCTCGCAGGAGGCTGTTTCCCAGATCAGAGTAATGATCTTGACGGCTCATTCGCCGCTTGATAAAGAGAATTGGTGTCATGTACCATACAGTAGCAGTACTACGTAAGTAATAAACCTGAGCGCTTAGGTCATTAAAATACTCGATTTGTTAGAATAGCATAAAAGCGAACTGATGGTGTATGTAAATTAAATTAAATGTAATAGAGATATTTGACATTATGAATCAGAAGAATCGCGACGTAGAGGCGAGCGACAACCTATTATACTGGACCGTTATCTAACGCAGTTCAGAACTGCCATGACTCTGGAGAAAATCGCCTCGTTGAGGATTACTCGTATAAATAATTGGTTATGAGTATACGGCTCAATATGTGCTTGTAATGAATTATAATTTGGTATCATGATTTTTCTGGTGTGACGTGTTGTTTATTTGTTAGGATTTTTACGGAAACTTTTACATTTTTACAGATATATGTCAAATGGAAACATTTGTAATTGTCAATTTATTTCCTGTTGTGTCTTCGATGGTAAATATCCCCCATTGGGGGTAGCGTGATCACTGTGAGCTTGGCGTGTTTGCTTTTGAAGTTCTTTCACGTTCTGAGCAAACAAGAGGTGCTCGTGCAAGTGTCCTCGGTGAAAAGTGTCACGATTTTTGTCAATAAAAGAATTTAACCGGAAAAACTTTAAGAGATTTGGCATACATAATTTGGAAGTGTTAGCTTTTCAAAACTTCAGGTCTACTACTAACTGACCTAATCTGTTTTGTGATTGTTAAAATATTTCGTAAACCAACTACGCGCGATATCTAAAGACGTACATTACGCGTTTGTCTGCAAATTCTTATGGTCATTATATGGATGTCAAAGAAGTAGTCAACTTAGATTTTCTGATTAAGCAAAAATTGGCTAATGCTGCTTACAGTAATATCTTAAGTGATGTTATAGATATTATCTGTCAAAACTAAATGCGGAAATCCAATACCCAGGGCACCCGGTAACTTATGACTACACAAGTCTCCAGTTTGCTGCTATTTCCCAAGCAGAATTGAAGGAAAGTCACTTTGAACATCCTAATACAGTCCATGATTGTAACCAAGCTAATTCTACCTTCTTGGAAATCGCCAGAAGGACTTGGTTAAAACAAAGATTTTCACGAGAAAAGAGGTGAGACTTTGTACGCGAAAGACTATTCACGTGAAACTTTTACGGGAACTATAAATTTAATCTACCAACAAGGAACAAGAAATGTGTAATGGAGGAAGAAGTAAAGTAGGTTTTGTTTTTCGAATGCTCTACAATTCTAGAAAAAGTTTACAAATGGACTCGTTTATATTTTATCATTTTTTTATAATCACCATACCATATTCTCTAGAAACATTTGAGAATAAAATCCAATTCACTCAATTTTCATTTATCTAATATAAAGTAACTATTTTTTGTTTATTTCACATTTTTTCACATGAGTAAATCAATGAGATAATGGGTTTAATTATTCTTCCACTCACGTACTCAATCATTTAGAGTTGGAACATTTGGAACTGAAACATTACACTCATCCACATACAAAACGCTGCACTCAGGAGACATCAAGTTGCGATGTTGTTAATAGATAGTCCAACACATTTAAAATAATTGCCTTTTTACATTTTTAGGATCAATATTTAATACTGTCACACAAAGATCATATTAGTATGACATCAAGTCAACTCGATGGCGCACACGCGCTCAATGATATCGTAAAAAAGGTTGCACATGTTTCAAAAGTCCTGTGATATTGCAGATTGGTGGGTATGGTAAGAGTCCCTAATGCACACTCTGAAGCTCCTTCTCTGCCCACGAGGTCATGACGTTCAAGACCCGACGATGGTGGGAGGATATTTGGCAATAGCTATCTAGTTAGGTCGAATTCAACCGCTGTCTAAGGGAGAATTCTAGTGGCCGACTGAACTGATGTGTGGCGGCGATGGTGTAACGGTTAGCGTACCGGACTGTTGTACCCAAGTTCGCGGGTTCAAACCCGATCGAAGCCGTGGATTTTTAAGGGCGAAAAAATCCTTCGTACGCCTTCCTTCGGAAGGAAAGTAAAGCCGGCTGTCCCATGTTGTAGATTTACTTGCATGTAAAAGATCCTCAAGCCTAAATGACGCCTCTGAGCTAAATTCAAATCGACTGTTTCTCGCCCAAGAAATACCTCCGTTCTCTGCTAGTTGATGAACGGAGTGTATCGAAATCTGCGTGGTCAGACGAAGAGCGGGCCTGATGGCCCGAGTCTCGCCACGTAAAATAAGGCAAATTCAATTCAACTGATCGGTAGTTTTCGGCGTTTCTCCGATCAGCACTAGGCAAATGTCGGAGAACTCTAATAAATAGAGCAAGGACCACGCGCGATCTTTCCTCATTCTTTCTTTTCCTATCCGAATACCCTACTTACAGTTACATTCAGTACACTACCTCTTGGGCATGCCTGCATTCCGTGTGGCTCGCATAGAACCCAGGAGAATCGCTAACGAATCCGAGGCAAAGAATTGCGTTTCCCACTCCATTAAATCAGAATAGTGGAGCAAGTGGTATACTACAAACCGCTCTTCGAGCCGCTCACCACTATGGCCTGGACAAGAGCCCGGTTTTCATTGCTACCAAACAAATAGCGGATCTAGTCACTCAAGATGATGATGCTGTGTCTGTGGAGGCGCTGCTAGGTGTGAGTAACAGTCGTTGAAGCGGTAGGCAAGCGGTAGGCCGTGCGGCAGGCTACCGCCTGACTACAGGTGTGGCAGAGCATGCCGCACATCGCTCTGAAAGTCATCTAGTGTTGCCACTGTATCTGTTTGCGTGGGTCAGACAATCCAGCATTCATCCCCAATCGTGATGCGTGGCTAACAAGTATAGGCATGTTGTATATGCGTACCTTCCTCTATCCATCGCCGCCAACATCGGGCGATAGTGGGGTACACACAAGAGTTGTGGCTTGCAATCATTGGGTAGGAACATTAATTCCCCCCCCCCCAAAGAAAAACAATGAAGGCCCCTCTTAAACGCTGCTGAGGAACCTCCTGCAGAACACGTCCCTTAAGCATAATGAAAGTACAAGTGATACTCTAGAGACGCTAGTCCATGTCAATGGCGGGCAAAGTGGTTTGCAGATCTCATATCGGTCGTTCACCCGATTTCATACCCCCATCCCTGAGGTACACGGATGGCACTAAAATGAAACCTTTGCAAAAAGGTTTTAGCTGATGGTGTGAAACATATCAGTCAAGTTTGCTGTGGTTCAGTCTAGTCCAATCCTTTTTTGAGGAGTGTAAACACTTTTTTTCCTTTACATTGTAAAATTACTATTGATAGCAATATTCTTAGCAATGCTCAATTTGGGTCTCATTGCAATATACCCCATATATTGTTGACTATTAATACTTACAATTAATACTTCTTCTGTTGGGAATTATTTTTTCTCTCTTCCGGTCGTTGCGATCTTAATAAGTAAAGCAAATAAGCAACTTGAAATAATTTCTCCGCCAAACGAAAAGGAAAATATATATAAATATTCCCTAAACTTCCATTTCCATATTAAGGGTGAAAGTTTGTCAACGAAACGCGTTAAATGATGTGTAATTGTTACTACCAAGGCTCTTATATAATATCAAATAAAACACAAAAACCATGCAACTGATGTTGACAGATCTCCTTGGAACAATTCACGGGACTTCCTTAAAAACTTTTGAAGTAATTATAAAATATTTCTTTACAGTTAACTTTTCGTTTTTTTTAATAGTCACAAAAATACTAGAATAGCTTTTTGCTTTTGCGTAAGCTACGTAAATTAATAATGCGAAAATACAGAATCGGGCAAGTACAACCCTCCTTTTTGCAATTTAATTTTACTTTGTTACCAAACACAGAAGTACACTCGTGCCATTCTATGGCGTAGAATATGAAGTAATTACTTTAATTTCTCATACAGTTTCAGAAACTGCACGTCTCTGAACATTCGGGATATTTATCAAGAAGCGCCAGCCCACCAAAAATGTAATAGAATGTTCAAGAAGATCTCATCCTGTACATTTCGGTGTGAGAAACGTGTCTTTAAAGCATTCTCGTATTTTAAGGTCCTAAACGCTTCGTATACGAGTTATTTAACTATATAGATTTAACAATGCCACCCAAGAGCTGCAAGTTGATTTTGACCAGAATAGAGAAACATGCTTTGTCGACAAATCCTTCATAGTTTTAAAGTCAAAGTGCAATTCGTCACGTCTTCGTGACATACTCTTTCTTTAGAGACCTCATTTATAAAGATTAATTGCGAGTTAGAGACGCAAAACTT